ACTTGTAGTTCGCATGTGGGAAGGTTTATGCGGCCTGTGCCCTTTTCCCACCCCCATACCCCTGGGGTTCCAACCGGACTGGGGTCTTCTCCCAGCGTTCCAGTCTGGAGGTCAGTGATTTGGGCTCTCTTGGTTCAGAGCCCCCCTTTTAACCTTGGCCACCCTCTGGAAAGGCTCCTCTATGCTGGGCAAGGGTCCTAAAGCTGTTTTCCCCTTGTCCCAGGCCTTCCTCCCCCTCTGACAGGGGTCACAGGATCCGCAGTACTGCCGGACAGTAACAAAGACCCCAGACCAGTAAAAGCTCCGTAGCAGCCTCTGCTGGATATGCCAGGTTTCCTGGTGCCCTGAGAGGGGAATGTCATGGGCCCGGTACAGCAGCTGGCGGCGATACTTCTGGGGTACCACCAGCTGCCTCCTGAACCCCCCTGACTCCATTTTCCCTGGGGGAGCCCATTCTCGGTACAGGAACCCCTTCTCCCACAGGAACCTTTTCCGGCCACCTCTCCCCATGGTTTGTACCGCGCTGAGGTTGGCCAGGTCCCTTATCTTCCGCAAGGAGGGATCTTTCTGCACCTCGGCCTGGAACTCAGCAGCTGGGACAGGGATGGCCACCTGCTCTCTCTCGCCGGCTGGGTCTGAAGCCGCAGCCTCCCTGAGCCATGTCCCTGGGTGTTCCCTCCCCACCAGGTTAGGGTCCTGCGCCTCGGGCAAGGCACCCTCCCCAAGGTCAGGGTGCAGTGCCCCTCGCCGGCTGACTGCGGGTCACAACCAGGGCACCCTGGGGGTTGCTTGGCCAGTCCTCCAGGTCCCCCCCCCATGAACACCTCAGTGGGCAAATACGGGTGTACCCCCACGTCCTTGGGGCCCTCCTTGGCCCCACAGTTCAGGCATACCCTCGCCACAGGTACCTTGAATGGGGTCCCACCCACCCCCATCAGGGTCAGGTAGGTGTTGGGCACCACCCGATCTGAGGCCACCACCTCGGGCCGGACCAGTGTCACCTCTGAGCCCATATCCCAGTATCCATTGACCTTCCTCCCATCCACCTCCAGGGGAACAAGGTACTCTCTCCGGAGGGACCGCCCCGCGCCCACCGTATAAACCAAAAACCCTGAGTCTGGAGCATCCAGTCCCCCAGAGGAGCTGGCCTGGAGCTCTCCTCCCCCCTCAGCAGGTGGTACTCTGCCAGCCCCCCTTCCCTGGGAATGCTGCTCCTCGTCTGGCTGGGTCTCTACCCAGTCAACCCAATGCGGGTTCGGTCTGCTCAGTCTGTCCCTGAGCCTGTGGCACTGGGCCCATATGTGGCCTCTCTGGTCACAGTGATAGAAGCCCATGTCCCGTGGGTCCCCTCGAGTGGGTTGGATGGACCTGATGCTGGATCTTCCCCTTTGGTGGGGGTTCTCCCTATTTCCTCGCTGGGAGGTCCCATGGTGACTCTCTCTCTGCGTTGTGGTGGTACTGTTCCTTTGGGACTCCTCCCTGTTATCCCCTGCCTGACTGTTCACAAACTCGTCGGCCAACTGGCCTGCGTGCTGCGGTTCTCTGGCTTTTGGTCCATCAACCATCGCCTCAGGTCGGATGGTCACTGCTCATACACGTGCTCCAGTACGACTAGGTCAAGTAGGTCCTCCATAGATTGGGCCCCAGCTGTCCACTTGCGGGCATACCCCTGCGCCCGGTTGGCTAGTTGTAGGTTTGTGACCTCACGGGTTTTATGCTGATTCCGGAACCTTTGCCGGTACATCTCAGGGGTCAGCCCAAACTCGCGGAGCAGGGCCTTTTTGTACAGTTCGTAGTCCCCTGTCTCCACCCCTTTCAGTCGGCTGTACACCTCCCTGGCTGTGGGGTCCAGTGAGGGAATGAGAAACTGGAGCCTGTCTGCAGGGTCAACCTGGAGCAGTTCGCAGGTATTCTCAAAGGCCGTCAGGAAGGTATCCATGTCTTCCCCCTCCTTACGCTGGGCCAGCAAGCACTGATCAAAGCTCTTTGCAGTCTTGGGTCCCCCCTCGCTCGCCGCAGCTGGGGCCCCATTGCTCCTCAGCCTGGCCAGTTCCAGCTCATGCTGACGTTGGTTCTCCTCATGCTGACGCTGTTTTTCCCGTTCTTCCCGCTCATGCTGACGTTGTCTCTCCTTCTCTTCCCGCTCCTGCTTCAGTTCTTGCCGCCTTACCTTGAGCTCGAGCTCTTTCAGTCTCAGCTCCCTGACACATTCCAGTCGCATCCGCTCCCGGGACGGGAAGCTCCGTCGGGACGATCCCCTGCTGGCCGCTGGGGTCAGGGTGCCCTCAGTATTCACTGGGCTTCCCCCAACCCCTCCCCTAGGTATAGGTAGGCAGGGTCTCGGGATGTCCTCGACAGCAGTCTGCCCCCTCCCAGCCATGTCAGGCCCCGGGGCCCACGCTGCATCCGCCGAGCGGCTTCTCTTAGGGACAGGGCTCAGTTCATCCAAGCGATCCCTCTCCTCCAGCTGAGCAATGAGCTGTTCTTTGGTGGACCTCCCAATGCGCAGCCCCCTCTGCCTGCACAGCTCCACGAGGTCACTCTTGAGGCGTTTAGCATACATCCTCCTGCTGCCACTCGCCCGCCTGTGCTCTCCGCTTTCCACCGTTCCCGGGGGACCCCTAGTGTGCCAGTCCCTCTTCAGGTCACCCCCTCTCTGCCAGGGTCGAGCTGCAGACTCCTCCACCCCGGGACCGCTCGCTGCGATCCCCCAGGGGACCCTGTTACTGCAACAGTCCTCCTCTCTGGTCACACACTCCCAGGGGTCAATCACCCCCTGAACCGTCTCTCTCTGACTCTTCAGCCCACCTGGTCCCCGTCGATCCCCCTTCGTTTTACTGCTCCCCAGTCACTTACTGCAGGACGCGCCGTCCACGGGGTGCAGTACATCCCACCGCTGCCACCAGTTGTCACGGAGTATGGGGAGACTCAGGGCCTTGCACCCCCGGCGTCCTGCGATTCACCATGACTCTCAGCCAGCCAGTAAAGCAGAAGGTTTATTTAGATGACAGGAACACAGTCCAAGACAGGTCTTGCAGGCACAGACAACA